TCTTCCGATTACACTATTCACCGAGACACTGATTAAAATTCGCCTCGTCGTTTCCCCTGTGTATAAAGGCTGTTTTCCTTTTTATTTTTGAGTTACTGCATGTTTTCCCAGGAAAAACTTTCCTCTCTTTTTCCCAGATAATTCGTCCCTTTTGTCTCTAGACATCGTTCCTAATCTTCCTCAATTTTTTACAAACAAATTTTTAGAAGCTCCTTTGATTCACTTTCCTTCTCAAACTCTCCATTTTCCTGAAATTTTCCGCATTATTTTGTTACACTTTTTTCTAATGGAAATTGTAGTTTCACGCGTGAATCTCTTTACTGAAAAAATTCTTATCCCTTTACGTCTCACACATCCAGGCGTACGTGCACACGTACGCAATTAGTCACGAAGATATCTAACCATTTGCATACTTCATTTTGTGAAATACAATTTCCCGCTACGTGTACCGTATTACTTTTAAATCCATGGTCCACGAATGTAACGTAAAATTATGTCTAGATAATTACGAAAAGTATTTTTCTTCCTCGTTTACACATAATTTTACAAGGAATCTACTGCCTATTTAACGAGTGTAATTTAATCGTAAACGTACCTTCCACGTTTGGAAAGTTCGAAGTTCTTTTACCGAGTGTCTCATTAAAAGAATTTCAATTTCTTCCAACGACTGTGAAAAATTTCTCGAAATTTCTCGACGTTCTCGGTGCGCGGTGTATTCGGAAAAAGGGATTCGTAATTTTGAAAGGGAGAAAATTAAAGTTTCTAAGGGAATTTCTCTTCCGTTTTTTTTCCGCAGGGTTGACGAAGAGCACCTGCGACATGAAAGATTACAAGCACGTGACCGCGATGGCGAACTACGCGCTGAGGATACGCGAACAGCTGGCCTCCGTTAATGAACACAGCTTTAACAACTTCCGGTTGCGTGTAGGCATCAATATTGGACCGGTAACGTCAATCACTTTCGGACTAGCTGTTACAACATTCACGAAAGCATCTTACTTGGCCCAAAAAAATAGACCTCGGTATTTAAGCATGACCTCACTTCTTCCATTCGCCATTTCTTTGCCTTTTTTTCTTCCACCGAACAGCTCTTCAATCCCGATCACGCATCGTATTCTCAGCTGTCAAGCTGACAAATTCACGTACCTCGATTATCCCAAATTTCCACTTCAACTTTCGAGTATAATCATTTATTTATACGCAACGGAAATTCGATTTCGCGAGAAAGAAACGTTGCAAATCTTGCAAACTTATTGTCCCAGCGATATAACGAAGTTATACTCTGATCTGGAAATTTTGACAACTACAACACCCTCCCCATCTGCATAAACAGTTGACCATGTGACTTTCTGCATACCGTACAATGAATATAAATAATCGATGTAACTAAAGCTATTGGTCCTCTACGTATACTTTCAAAAACACACCCCGAAGAATTATATCCCCGCGGAATGGAAGAGCGAACTAAATATATCCTTTGGTCCTGTTTTCATGTAGGTCGTCGCCGGGGTGATAGGCGCGCGAAAGCCGCAGTACGATATTTGGGGTAACGCGGTAAACGTGGCCTCACGAATGGAGTCGACAGGCGTCTTGGATGGGATTCAGGTTACCCAAGAGGTCCGCGACATCCTCATCGCCAAAGGATATCCACTCACCTGTCGTGGAACGATTCAGGTCAAAGGCAAGGGCAGCATGGTCACCTACTTCCTCGATGGACCCCGTGATCCGACCAAGGCGACCAATGTCAACGACAGTGGTACCACAGAGAGAACCACTTCTGCCACCAATGGTAACGTGGACGGACCTGTAACAGCCAATATCACCGTGTGAAACATCTACGTGCCGTGCAACCTATAGATCACAGCACGAAAGGAATACCTTTGGCGTTCAGATATGACAAAATGATTCCGAACGACGAAGATAATTGCGAATACAAGGAAGAGGGAGTTTCGTGGAGAATAGTTAAAATGAATGGATAGTTGCAGAGGAAGGTCGGAAGGGAGTTCTATGTATAGTATCTTCGAGGGCATCTAGATCATCTATAGCATGTTTAACCGTTTGAGTCCCAAGCAGCGCGATCGCGCTCAACTTTGCTGGTGCATGTACGTCACATAGTACCAACAAGCGCTATTGCGACGATTTGGATTTTTCGACATAAAATTAAACAAGCGCTATCGCGCCGTTTGGACTTCTTCGCACTCGATTAACGCAAGCGTTATCGCGCTGTTCGGGGTTTTTCGACCGTGTTCTTCCGAAAGCTTCAAGCGCTGCTTGGGACTCAAACGGTTAAACAGTCTATAGAGCGGAAATTTTGAATTCTGTTCAAAGAAGTTGACTCACCGGAGAATGGGCTGTCGATTGTCGTTTAATATATTAGCACGATTGATCTCCTCGTCGAGCAGCTCTAAGCTCGAAGCGCAAGCGGAGGATCGTAGGAGCTCAAACTAACTTCCGCACCTCCCCATCATAAAGGAAGTTGACTAGTACTTAGGCCGTATCTCGCTATTCTACGTGATTAGATGTCTCCGTTCTATTTTCAGAAATAATCCTTCCAAACCGATGGCGAGACCAATTTACCAACTTAGATATAAACTTGTTTGATTAAATTTCTCAATGGAAATATGATTTAACGGGTGTCCAGTTTCCAAACTTCTATATATTTCTATACTTCGATTAGGTTTCGTATACTCGATGAAATTGCACGCGAGTGAAAAAAAAAATCGAGTTTAGAACTACGTTAGACTTCTCGAATTGTCTTTCTAAGGGAAATACCATGAAACGTTATTTTAATGCGAGCCTTGTCGCCAAGTTTCAACGCAAATCCCCTCGATCGGGTTTCGTAATTCCGGGGGAAATAGAAGGGAAAATACAACTCGCGTGAATCTTCGTGAATAATTTTCTAACGACGACGAAACGCGTGAAAATTGCTATCTTGAATTGAAAGTATATATCGATCACTGTCTGGTTGTCTGCTTATGCACACGTTCTTCTAGTCAATAACGGGAGATTAATACGAGAAGCTCGATACAACGAAACTGTGGCTGGGTTCTTGATTTTGAAATTTCGTTTAAAATGAACGAAACGGGACCACGGCAGGTTTCTATGGATTAGAAGGAAGGATAAGAGGAAACGAGGGTAAAACGAAGGTTTCGGAAGAAAAGAGAAAAAAAGACTCACTATTTTTACATTTCTCTTTTTTTAACCCTAATCCAACGACGAGGTATCGATTAATGAGTTTTGTAATCACGTGTAAGAAAAAGAATATATATATTCTTTAAATATTTTAGATAAGAGAATACACTCGTTTCTGCACAGTGTAATTCTGATTGTAGATTGTGTCTATCGACTAAACAACGCCACGTATTGTTGCATGAACGATACATTCTAAGCAGCCAGAACTGTGTTCTACGTGTCAATAACCTGTTACTGCTTTACAATTTTCCTTTTATTCCTCGAACAACGTAGTAATACGATTTTCCTCGAGCTTTTAATGATTTTATGAACATACTTTACGAATTTCATTAGAATGAAATATAGAAAGTAGCCCTACATCGTTCTTTCTTAAGAACTTTAACCCTTTGCACTCGAGAGGCGACTCTCAGTTGCCATTTTATCAGATTCTAAAGATGAATGCTAATTAATATATCAAATTCAAAATTACCCAACGATGCGTGGAATGTCGAAGTAAAATAATTCTAAGTCTTAATTTGTATACGATTTCTTATTTACCGTTTTAAAAATATCGTCGACTTTATGGTACAAAGTCTTCGAATTACTATTTTTCTGTGAAGAAATTGCCGAGTGCAAAGAGTTAAACAATTCTAATATCCTAGATTCTGATATCAAACCTTTCGTAAATTATTTTCGGCTTTTTAATAATTATTTTGTATATTTAAGAATCTACATCGCATTCTGATAAACTCCAAACGTGTTTTCCATCGTTAAATATTCTTGAAACAAATTACTATACTTATCTCCATAGTATTTGATTCTCTAAATTATTCACCGTTGCATTAGGACCTAAGTTTGCCATTCATTTTCTTCGTTGTATAATATCGTGAACGTATTACTACGTTATTGTTAATTCGTAATTTCCATTATTAAATTATTCGTGAATGTATCAGTATCTTTTTCCGAATTGGACACGTTAAGCATTCCAATTTTGGTTCGTTTCTTCCAGCATACGATGCTTTAATACGAGCTTATACAGTGTTTTTATTTCATTGGCTGTACGTGATACAACGTTATGTATGCAGGATGAATTAAAAGTCTCGAACCACATTTCCGTTCAACAAATTCCCAACGAAAATTGTAATTACGATGAAATCACGCAAGGTGAATGTTCTAACATAGTCAATAAAGTAATCGAAAGTCGAAGCCTGATGCAATAATGGAGCTAGTCTCGAATCTGGAATTTAGTGACTAGAGTCTAGTGAAATTTTCGTATCTATCGAATAATCATTCTATTTCGATTAGAGATTTAATCGTTCATTGTTCCTTTTTCATGAAAATTTCATTTTCCATGCACTTTCCCAATTTCTCTGACCCAGTTCTCATAGCTGGTGGTACAAGCTTGTAAAAATAAATCAAACGATTTTCTTTTCCTATTGAAATACTATTTCAAGGTAGTATTGCATCAGACTCAGCAAAAAGACGATCTTAGAAACGAGTTAATCGTCGTGCATAGCGTGTATTGTGATTAATGTGAAACTTTCCAAAGAGTCTAAATAGTCGTCAATTGAAGTTCATCTTAAGCTAATAGAGAGAGCCTATAATTAAATGTTCCCTCGTCTCAAAGAAATACGTATTTTGATGTTGCTGGCAGGTCCAACCGTTGATAGGTGTTAATCGACATTACGATCGAACCGACTGCGGACCATCGTTCGATAGATCGAAGTAAGATCATTGCAGATGCTTCGATGAGATATTTGAAAAATGTCACAATCGATTCTCATCCTTTCTATACCTTGTTTCAGTATAATCGGAAACGTTGGAGTACTCGAACGCACAATTCTTTCGTTTCAAATTGAAATACGGAGAACAATTTGAAATTTCTTTAAAAAATAAATAAATAAAAAGAACATCGAGGCATCTGTAATGTAATATTAAAAAAAAAAAAGCAAAAAGGAAAAATGGAAAAAAAATTTATCATATCAAGTCTAAGTGTGTAATAAGCCTAACGATGTGGTAACTTTCTAGGGATAAAATGTTCACAACGAGTTCTCACTGTTATGGCTGATATTATAGAAATTCTTCGCCAAGCGTTCAAAAGAAATTCTTAAAAAATCTCGTGAAATTTTAACAGAATCTGATTAAATATATATATATATACTTTTTCGAACTTTCGTGCAATATCTGTCAATTTAAGAGAAAGAGAAAGTTTCAAAGAACTTTGTCAGATTTGAGAATCACCGTTTTCTCCCTCCAACTTTGATATAATTTCTCGATGGCCTAAACACAGAACCTGAAGTTCACACTAAACATGTACTATAGCTACTTGCGCGATGTGATTTGCCAGAGAAACGTGAAATAAATTTTTATTAAAAAATCTGAAATTCTAATTTTATTAGAAGAACCTAAATTATTTTTCCAGAAACATTATTCATCTATTAGAAAACAAAAATCATTTTGAATTTTATTAAATTATTTAATTTTGTTAAATTATTCTCCTTATTAAACAGTATAGAAAAATCATGTTCGTTTCATGCAGCGAATTTGTTTTATCGATCTCCATTTCTTTTACCCGTGGAAACTGGTTCCATCTGTCGATCAATTTTCATAAAAGGCGAACAGCGGAGTAGGCAAAGTAGAGGAAACTTCTGTACCAAGTTAAGATAAACACGAAACGAAAATAATATTTTATTTCCTATATTACCAAAAAGTTTTAAAAATTAAAGAAAAAGGTTTATTTCCTCCTTCCGTTCTCTTATATAAGCTTATCGATTCAAAAATTCCATCTCTTTCGTGAAATATTTAAAAAATTAAATTAATTATGTTAATGAAAAATATTTCCATATTTTAGTACTAGAAAAGAATTGCGAGTGTTCTTTGAAAAGATTTTTCCAAATTTTCTCCTCTGTTTCCTAAAATCAACTTTCAAAGTTAAATGACCCTTCAAATGATAACATGTTACTAACGTCTGGTTTCTATCTCCATATCTTCCTTATCTAGAATTTTTGGATCTCGAACATTGGCACCATTGCACCTCGGTCAGTCGCTAGGCATATAATGTAACTACTCTGTGAATACTGAAGCACGTGGTGTTTATTCTAGGAACACCGAGCTGATTTAACGAGTCAGCTTTTTCCTGAAGTCTACGACATGATCTTAAAATAATTGCTTCTTGTTAATTGCTACCATCGTTATTGTGCAATCGTTATGTAACCAGACTACTGGATTTGCTCATGGCTGTCGACATGAAAAAGGTTAGACATATGTATATCAAACCATTAGTGGATAAGTAAACAGTACTGCAATGCTTTGAATTTCGTTTGTTTTAATCCTTTAGTATGTCTAATAATGCTTTTGTATCGTATGCGTGTGCTTCCCACCTATATAATATTATATTTATAATGATATCAATAATTATTTTGCTCGCTATATATTCGAATTTTTTCAAGAAATGTTTGAAACGCGATATTTCTGAGATAGTAATATCAGAAAAATTAACTTTGCATTTTTATGAAAGAAACCTTATAAGTTAATCAGTACTGATTGCAATTATCGTAACGTATCAATTAAAACCACCAAAATCGAACGTTAATTAAAGCTAAGATAAACAAAAATAATTTCACATGATATGATTCTATTCTACTCGTTTTATTTGAGTAAATCAATAGCAAGTAGATCTAGATAAATTATACAATAGTGGTCACTTAATTATCCAAGTATTAATTCGTTCCAATTAAATCGGTATTTACTATACTTAAATTAATCTGTTAAAAATTTAGTATACACAAATTATTACAAAATTCAGACTAAACGGCGTTCCTCGCAAGTCTCTTATTAAAAGGCAAACTCGCGTTTCCTTCTGTTTGACTAGACCCTCTCAGTAAGTACAAATTATGCCTATAATAAAATTATTTACCATAACTATTTCCTCTACACCTTCGAATCGGTAAAAATCCGTTAAAAAGGGTAACCACAAAATCGATCTTGAGCATGATACTCGAATTCAACATTTTTTATTTATTAATATACATTTCCAATTATTTGAAATATATTATATTCGATAAAACCTCTAGAACCGGAAAAATATTGTCCGAGCAGTCGTGCCGTGCAATAAGACAAGATATTTGCAGTCAGTTTCTCAAAACAGCATTTCATTTGTCACTCATGCTTCTTTTCGAATATTTCCTCCTTTTAATTAGAATACGACGCAATAAAAAAGAAATTTGATTTTGGAAATCGTGCTTCCCTGAAAATTAACTTCGTGTCTGCATTTTTCAACGGATCTTCGCACTATAATGGTAGTCATAAATAATTTTTTATTTAAAAAATTTTTTAATTTTTTAAATTGTACAGTACTGACTAAAGGTAACACAACGTCAGCCAGCTTATCATCTTTAAATTCCCTGGTGTTTTTCGAGTAATCCTTCTATATCTACGAGCTACGTAACTTCGAATCACTAACTATCACTGCTACTAGTCTGAGCTACCTAGACTGCTCCCTAACTCGCACTTTCACTGGTCACCACGTAATTTTTAGCTTAAATCGGTCGAGACAAAATTCCATTAGACTAATTTCTTATAATGACTCTTAAAATGCATCGTTAAAGCGAGTCAGTGCGTTCAGTTATAAATTCGCACACTCGTTAGTATTCCATGAAAGAGACTATCGTAGATAGTATTTAAGGAACTTAAATTACGATAATCGTTATAACGAACACATCGTTCTTACTGTACATTATATATGTACAATACATACGAGTATCAAGTGAGATAACACTCGATAGTCTTCCACTTTCAAGTGTGGCAATAAATAATTCGAGAAGTCGTCGTGCTGACGGCAACGAAATCATACCATAACAGCCACAGATGCGAGCCAGAAACTGGTCAGTATTGTTTCTTCTATCAAATATAACGTCTAACAATTGACGACAATGAACAGATTAAATCGGCCGTTGTTAAATGAATAAAACAGGTGTAGTGGCTATGCGTGCAATAATACTCTAAATTGTTTAATACGCAATTAGAAGAAACCGTTTTTAAAAAATTCTACGAATTTGCATTTTTCCTGTGGAAATTACGCAACAGATACGAAAATGTTTGAAAATTACTTAATTAATTTTCTTAATTAATTCGACACTTCGTTGAAAATATTATTCGGTACGTTGATTGAGAACAGAATTTTTTATTACTCGGTACATCGTATTTTCTTCCACGTTTTTAATTATTCGAAAGAAAGAAACGTAGAGAAAATAAACGTTTGAATGAAACGAGGTGGTTGTATAAGAACAGAATTGTCTGTTACAGAGAGCCGGAGATTTTTTATAGCGGATTCTGCAATTTTTACGTGACTTCAGCACAAGTAGGATACTGGTGAAAAATTATAAACAGGAGCGATATCGAGAAACGCACACGTAACAATGATCAAGTGAAGTAATCAAATTGAGAGGATTTACGAGTTTATTTTTATTATCTGATAGTAAAACAAGCAACGATCATGGAGAGCGAGGTAAATAAAATAATTATACTTCTATTTCTACCAAGTTATTCTCTTCTTCCTCTCTTTCCGAAAACTTGAATCAAAAATCAATTTTTCCTTTAATAAATTATAATATATATTTACCACTTGCGCTGGAAGGACGTGTCACGCACGTTTTCGTCGCAGAATCATCAACGACGTGGTACACACGTCGTCAGGCAAATCGATTAACTGCACTTTTTGAAAAATCTTAAGTATAAGAAAGTTATGACTATACCAAGTGCTTTGACGCTTAAATTTGAGATTTTTCAAAAAGTGGAGTTAATCGATTTGTACAGTGAACGGCTCAATTGTCAAAGAAACACTGGACCGTTCTGGCACACACATCTGTGAATTTTTGCCATTGCAAATGGTCAAATGAATTTTTACACTCCTCCAATAATTGGCACCAACTGTTATATCAATTATGATGTTACAATCTTAATTATATTTTATAATAATACGTATTGTGGATAAATTAGAATGGTACAAAATCGACTAATACGATGCATCTTCTATACTCTTCTTCTTTCTACTTCTTAATTTTCCATTTAAAATTAGCATTACACGAATTTAATTATTCCGATATAATTTCAGTCTACAGTTGCAATAATACTATCACCCGATCGAGAAGAATATGTAAATATTTTGACTGAAAATGGAGAATTATGTAAATTTATTGATGCAAAAATATTTTTCCAATTTTTGACAGCTGAAGAGAAATAATGATGAAGTAGCGCAGCAGAAATGCCCGAAATATTTTGGCTGGCTAGAAAAAGTTTCAGTGGAGCCAACCATGTGGTTATACATGATGGCATATATGATTACCTCGGTTGTCGAACAAGCTTTTTTCGTTTACAAATCCTGTCGAGTTGACCACGGATATTCCGAAGAAATCTGTTCCAATCTGAACAAGAATGAGAGCATAAAAGCTGAAGTACAGGTCAGGAGTTTATAGTTCATAGTCGTCCATAGTTCAGGAGTTTACACGCGAGTCCTCAGGGGCAAAGAGGATTTTTGCTCCACTGGATTTACGATATACTTAAAATTCATTCTCCAGGCATAATAGTAGAGGAAGTTACGTCGACGCTTCCTTCATTTTATGTTAAACGGTTAACACCGGTTCTGCATTTACGTCTATGCCTTATCACTTGATCCCACTTAATACGGAGTTAGCTACGAAATATCTCTCTTCTCCAGATGCTGTATCAAGTGTAGACTCCTGAGTAGTCTATAGCACTTTCTAGGATAAGTAATTTTTAATTACAAGTAGTACGACACGCGACTACCATTTTCAAAAATTTGTATGTTTTATTTCTCGTTTATTTTTGAATATTACTTCTATTTGTTTAAACCGAAACGAAATATCCTGGGAAAATGTATCGACAAAAATATTTAGTTTAAAATAGTTTAAATAAAAGTTCTCTTTTAAACTAACTTGAATTAAGAGATGGAAACTTCTAGGTTACGGTCTCAAATTTTCATCAATGGAACAACATAGCTGGCCACGTGGCCCCCATAATATTAGCCCTATTTTTTGGTAATTGGAGCGATCGGCGTGGTCGAAAATTACCATTGATATTTGGATTACTAGGAAAGTTTATCTACTCTTTCATGATTGTAATCAATTCCATGATGGATACGTGGAATTTGAACACCGTGATATACACGGCGAGCCTCCCCATGGGAATGTTAGGGGGCGATGTAGCCATTTTTGGAAGCTGTTTTTCGTACATATCAGACATAACATCTGTTCAACAAAGAACCCTAAGAATCACTATTTTAGACGTGGTATACCTTAGCACTATGCCTACTGGTACATTTCCATTCTTTTCTTTTCCTTTTATTTTTATTTTTATTTCAATTTTAAAATGCTCAAAAGCTAACCATTTCTAATTCACGGATATATACAATTGCCAGTATGCCAGTCTTTCTAGCAAATACAGTATTGTTCGTTTAATTAACCTCCTCGTTATCCGTTTAAATGTTCGTCGTCTTATCTGTACTACTTCCTCAGTCAAAACAAGCATTATCTGTTATTTGCATCGAAAATGACTCGACTACTGATGAGCATCGCTAAAATGAAAATAAAATTTGTATACATTTTTACTTCATCGCTATTACAAGATTAATTTAATCGCGCTGTTCAAGTACGAATTCTGTCAGGCAAAAATCTCGTCCAGATATTATCTAACTAGCATTTTAGTATACCTCGCTCGTTCTCCCTGAATACAACAGACTGTATCAATGTCAAAATAAAATCAAACGATTTATAGAAAATCACTTTCCCCGAATAAATAATAACACTAGATTCTAAAAATTTAATCAAACAGTACTGTATTACTAAATATCTTCCAAGCACTACATTATAACAATAACCACAACAACAATAATAATAATAATAATAATAACAATAATAAAATATACATACATAATTTATTTATTAAATATACGCACATAATTTATTTTCAATTTCAGGTGTGGCTTTGGGATCCTATCTCTATTCCAACGTAGTGAACTCATCTTATACTATAATGTTTATTATAAATACTACTTTACTAGCTCTAGCTATAATATACTCATTAATAAGGCTAAAGTGGCAAGTATTGCCTGAGCAACAGTCGTTGGCTGGCATTAATTTATTGACTGACTTTTTCGATAAAAAGCACGTGATCGCTACTATAAAGACAATGACCAAGAGCAGGCCGAATCATAGGAAACTTTATCTGTGGCTTCTCTTGATCATAATGATGCTTTACACTTTCCAAAGGGACGAGAAACCTATGAGTTTCCTGTATACTCAATTGATATTTCATTGGGATGTGAACAAATTTAGTAATTTCAAAACATTCCAATCGACTATGTTTGTCCTAGGTTAGTATCAATGAGATTTATCCTGTTCGAGAATTTATAACAGATAAGTATTATACGAAGAATATTAGCAAGAATTTAGTATACATATTTCGATAAAGATTCGTAAAAGTATAATTTGGATGAATTATTAAATTATTCTCTAAATATTCTCCTAGTGAAATAGAAAAATATAATTAAAAAAAAAAAAAGATGGAACATTCTTGTGAAATAAAATATTACAAAGAACTTAAGAAGTTCCTATTGCTCTTTAACCGCCGTACTTATGTCTCAAGAAAAATGAGACTCCAGCTAGGTCATATTTTCCATACAATTTCAGTGAAAGTAGAAATTCTCTACAAGAGCAGAACTTTCACTGACAGTAATCTGCCTGAGAAACACTCGGAATAACAATCACATTGGAATACATCGATGTGACTATGTATAATTTTCAATTTCAGCGATGCTAATCGGTGTGCCAATAATGAGCAAAGTACTGAAAATGAGAGATACCGTAATAGTAGCCATTGGTGCTGTTGCACATGCATCTGGAAGAGTTATATTCGTGTTGGCCAAAATACCACAATTATTCTACCTTGGTAAGTATAATAAACGATAATTATTCATTAACATAAATGCCATTTAGGATTAAATAATATTTTATATATTAAAATGTGAAAAAATAATTATTTTACGAATTTACGATAAAAGTATTTTTTACGGTTTCAGGTGCTATTGTAGCTGCATTGGGGCCAACAGTGGCACCAGTTCTTAGGTCAATGACCTCGAAACTTACTCCTGTGGAGGAACGAGGTATATCAATCTTTTTAATCATTTTAATTCCATTTTAATTAATTTTAAATTTTACTTTCCAAATAATCACTATATAATGATTCTTTGCACATTATCGATCTTGTGACAAAATATTTTCATGAAAAATTACGCTGCAAAATTTTTAATACTACTAACAAATTCGTATAAATTCCCATAAACCGATATAATAGTAATTTTTTAACGAAAAGCACGAAACATTTCTAAATGACAAATTGGCAACTTCATAGGAAAAATATTCGCTATATTATCAGTCTGTGATAACGCAGTGCCTTTGTTCAGTAGTATATTATATTCCCAATTATATAATGCAACCATAAACACGACACCTGGTTCAATCTACTGGCTAACCTTCACTACTCAAATACTTATCTTATTTCTTATTCTGTAAGTATGCAAAGTTAATAAAATAAAGATGTAGGAAAATTTACGAAAATTAAAAGATCCTATTTAACCTTAATTCTTTTCCAGAACAATTCAACTTCATATGAAAAATAACAATGTCTACGTAAATAATGAGAATTCAACGACGACTTCTATTATGGAACCAAGGAATAATACAGACTTTGAAAAAGCTTATTGAATTTTAGATATTGAGGAATTTTTTAATTCGTTAAAAAATATTCGTATCATTTTTGTTACGTTACTAGACATGTATATAGCGCAAATTGTGCATGAAAAGTACAAAATTACTGCATTTTACGGCTATGTTAAATTTTAAATAAAATGTACCTAAAGCGGTAACGTATTGATGAATCAATCTCTACTGGTATGAAATTAATTAGAATTAATTTCCCTCTACGTCAATCCCATCACAGGTGCAGAATTGTTAGTAAACGAATGAATCATAGCAACTATATGTTAAAATCAAAGTGACTCACGATTAAAAAGAAATATGGCCTTTGATCTACTGCTAATGCTACGTTTCTTAATGCATTTAGATCTCTGCATTTATTTATTTTCTTCTTTGTTTTCGTTTTTCTTCTTTTTTCATTTCAAAGTAACCAATTACCCTGTTAACACTTTGCACTCCAAATTATTTTCCAATTTCTTTGCCAGTAATTCCATACTATCTTAAGTATTTTGTTTGAAATTTACTTCACAAGACAGTTCCTCGACTGCTACTTATTTTAAACAATCTTGTTTACTGATTATATAAAATATAGCTCTTAAACAATGTTGTAATTTATATTTTGAATTTAAATAATTCAAGTAGTTACTTATTTTCTTTTTTCCTGTTCGGTAAATAAAGAATCAAAAAGCGTGGAGTGTAACTCAACATAGGAGTTCCTGTGATAAAAACTGATGTCGTGTCACACTCGACAAAGAAGTGCAAAGAGTTAATCTTTGAAATACCGTTTCGACGATGTTATTACTCATCAGGAAAGAATCATGTTGCCGACCCCGTATCCAGTCCCTGCCCTTGTGCCTCAGATTAGGAAACTCCACAGAATTACAAATTCCATAGCCCCACCAAGGGTCTATGTAAGGACTAGACCTCTTAGTTCGTGGAGTATAAAGGCACGCGACAGCAAGATAGGGAAATACTCCACTTACCATTTCGAAGTTAAACAGAACCTCCTTAAAGAACCGTCCGTCACTAATCGTCGTCAAGCAAGAACGATCTAGTGACGATATACATACCCGATGAATGCGAAACCACACACACCAACTTTCGATTAGGTGATTGCTATTCACCACGTATACGAGTTCAAACGTGTCAAGGATGCATGTATAGAACCATTGTTTACCATTTAAAATTCTCAACTGACGATAACAATAATAAAAACATCTATCAAAAATACATACAATCTTATTTTCCCCTCATTTATGCGATATGTCTACAATTTTAAAAAGATAAATAATTTTCCCTAATCTTCTTCTAAATTTCCGAGTCCCAGAAATTAATTTTAATTCAATGCCACGATTTTAAAAAATGAAACGCCATTTTTCTTTTCTTAAAATTTCCGAGCCCCAGAAATTAATTTTAATTCAATGCCACGATTTTAAAAAATGAAACGCCATTTTTCTTTTCTTTAGATAAATATTTTTCGTTTCAAACTAAATATATCGAGTCCACGAAGATTCACTTTATAATTTCTTTTATTCAAATTTATATCGTATGTTAATTAAGCATATGAAAATTATGAAGAATATAAGAGATATTTATACAGCTATTTCTCCGATGTTAAATATAATTTTTATCTTGAACCTAAGATTTCATAAATGTAATAAGAACTAGAATTTTTAGTAAGAAAATTAAACGACTCGATATTATATTGTATGTTATTGTAAACACCATCGTGTACAGTAATAACGTACTGTATACGATATTAAGAAACAGTTTAAAAACAAAAACGAATATGAATTCGGCTTGCCAGATGGAATTCCTGAAAGCGTTACAAGAGCCTGATAAATGGAAGAGCACGTGTGAATGAGAATTAGCAGACCCATGACACGATCCTGCAAAAGTAAACGGGAATTCCTCGTTTCGTTTATACGGGTGATATCGGCGTGTGGAAAACATTTGACCTACATAGGTGTCCACCTCTTGAAAACTCATGGGTATAAAAGGTCTGCGAGCTTTTGCAAGGAACCTGTACATGTTCAAACTTTGACAGAAGACGTTGCAAAATTGACTAAATAAAAGAAACTACACAAGATTGTTACAAGACTTCCAGCAGATCTGTAGGACTAACTTCACAATGGTAATACAGACATAGAGGGTGGAGTAGTAGTTAACAAAATGTTTTATCTTCCTTTTATAATGGGAAAAAATAACGTTCTTTCACATCCTTTTAATGTTGTTTTGTTCAGAACATAGAATAATTCTTTTTATTCTCCAATAAAACAAGAGTAAAAAAGTACATTGTTGAAAATATGCAATAAAATGACACCACTTCTTTAAGTTCTTTTTATGGAAGTCTTTATTGATAGGACTCTCTATTAATAAAGATCTGTGCAATGGTTAAAAAATAATTCTTTTTACTCTTTTAATTTCTATTTTGTTAAAAATAAAATTTAAATCGCAGGAATAACCTTTTTACGCTTTTTCAGTTTACTGCTCTACTGTAGGAAGATATCAGTAGCCGATTGACACGTCATTTAAAGGAGATATTGGAAAGAGGAACTGAATCCAAAATAAGAAACTTAAGTTTTGGGTATTTACTAATTTACAAGATATAAATACAAAATTTTAAATACTATACATTGAATTCTATCTATATAGACCGTTCTTGCCAATTGTCAAATGACCAATGATGCAGTGTGTAGTATAGTGATTAAAGTATTGGTTTAGGGTAATTAAAAAGACGGCCATCGACAGACGTTCATTTATACCATATTGTCTCACAAATACACACGCATAAGAAAAATTCAATGTATAGTACCATAAGTTTTGTGATATCTCGGAAATCAATACATACCTCAAGTTAAAATTTTATATTTTAGATCCATTCCTTCTCACCACTATTTCGCTCAAATTTCATGGCAATCGGCTGTTTATACCTTCTGAAAGAATATCCGAGTTATTTTATTGGAGAATAAAATACATACCTAAGAAATATTTTTTATTTTCTTATGATTATATACTGAACGATAGATTCAGAAAAAATTCCACTGCAATTTCTTATCAGCTTTAACATTATGCTATTCAAATATTTCTTCTTCATGTGCAATTTTAGCTATCCAAAGAAACGTTTATATTCGCTTCAGTGTATGATTATAGAAAAATAACTAGAAATCTTCTATAAATTGTAAAAAGACTGTTAAAAGATATCTCCTATTCTAAAAAATTGTAACAAACTGAAACTACTTTCAGATATCAACAAGAAGAATATTCAACATCCTCGTTGCAACCCTAATTATGTTCGTAACCCTAATAAATGCGATATCAAGCACAACTCGCGTCCCAGCTGGGGCCATAACGGCTTACCCCATACCTCAGCGACCACCATACGCTCCAAATCCTTGGGTTTATCCGAAACCGACAGTGGAACCACCAATTCTTCAATAAAAAAATCCTACACAGAACATCATGAAGATCAAATAATTCGAAAAATACAGGCCGCACAGATCTCACGTTGATTTGTGAAAGGATAACATAATTTTTATCTTGGGAACACAGACGTATGTATATACGTTAAAGCAACTCGATCTCCAGACCATCCAGACGAAACCAACGATATCACAACAGCACCTTGAAAAAGGTTATTTAAAATTTTAATATAAATATAGAATTGATTCTAAATGTATTTTATATCGCAGAAAAAAAGAAATATTCTTATAATAATGTTACCCTCCTTCTTAATTACTCTACAAATTAAACGCATATATTTCGAAATAATTTGTTATCCAAATAAAGACACCGTAGAAACACCATGCACGGCGAAACATATCTTCTTGAGAGGTAGCTGTCGAAGAAGTCTCTATTTATGAATTTTGTCCATTTTTAAATATATTGTACAAATCAATATTTCGAATAATAAATTTTTCTTTTATATGGTAGGGGGCGTTCTCCCTACTGCATACACCCCTGAACAGATCTAAATACATTACACATTTAACATTGTACCAAATGTGGTTTAAACGATCATTTTTCTTAATACTCGATTGTTATATCGTCGCCGAGTGTCGAATATCCAACAACACGCACTCACATATAGCACCAGTTTCTACCGGGTGTCCCATTTAAAATCTACCCATCTTCTTTTTCAAATACACATGAACGCGTGTAATCCCGCCATGAGAAACATAGCCAAACCTAACCGAAATTTGCTGTTATATAAAATTGCATAATGCAGCTTGAAAAAGAAATAAATTTTAAACGAGACTCACTATAGAAGCCGGGGCCAGATATTAATGCGCTTCATCGGTTGCGCGCGACATTCAGCGGCGACTACTAGAAGCTAATTATTCTGCCGCGTACTTATATGGAGATTTTTACATTTAATTCAAAAAATTTTTCTTTCATATCTTGGAAATTACTAATTTTCCGAAAATAATATTTTACATTTGCGTTCTAACCTCCCATCCCATCCTCCTACAACTTGGTGCCGATCAAAAATGTCTGCGGTTTGGAAGAATACTTGTAATAGACAGCCCTATTTTCCGAGCATTTGCAAAAAACTTCTACATTAAATTCTACGTACATAAATACATTCATGATTACGTATACACTAGATGTTTTTATAGGCATTTATATAAACCATAAACAAAAAATGAAGGTGAGGTTGTAAACCATTAAACGCAATTAGTTGAATATATAATTTTGTCGAGCAAAGTGAAATATGAAAATTGTATCCATTATTAAGAGTAAGATATTCAGAATATGTAGTTACCGTGCAATTATATTATCAGATTATTCGCCGGTGATTAGTTCTTCAGTGACATTGATAATCTTCAAATATGTTATGAATAGGGACATTTTGAACAGCTTCTTCCTCTACCAATTATAGGTGAACGGTCTCACTTTCCGAATTATCAACAACATTCCTTCGAAATCTGATCATGTGTTTGTGTAATAATCACGAACAAAGAAGAAGGCATAGGAACCCGGCACGTCATCACACTATTGATGTCTGCCGAAAAATAAACTGTTTATGCTTAGCACTATCAACTGTTTCTCGAAGTAATAGCGTAGAAATTACAAAAGCACTGTTAATCTTTATGGTATAAAAGTTTATCAAAAATTTGTTAAACTAAGACGAAGCAGAGCTTTCCCTCCTGCGTAATTTAACCTAATTAATAAATTAAATTTGGGTGAGATTATTATAGAGGTGCAGGAGTAGTACTCTCTCCCGATTCCAGTCTAAGTGTTAAAATTTTGAACAAATTTTTGACTATGTACTATTTCTACTGTTTTATATTAATACACATTATTTACGACACAATAAAGAAGAACACCTTTCACAGCTCAAGTTCTCGATCGTACTGATTCGGAAACGAAATATGCAACGATGTTCTACGTATGATGCAATCGTCGAAAGAATAAAGTCAAATGTAAAATTAGAATATTTGATAATTTCATAATATTGTACAAATAAAAGATACTAGTATATCAATTTTATTAATTGGTAAATTTTAGGAATAAAAACAAGACATGAATTTGAAACCTAAAATATTTTTCTCTTATATGCAAAGGTGCTTTTTTGTTGTCAGTAGTAAGTATGAAACAAAGGATTTTCATATGAAAAATATATTAAACATATGAAAAATATAATATTTTATTTAATTATCATGCTTTTTGAAAAAACCAAATTTAAAAAAAATTAGTAATTTTTAATTTGGAATTTCCATATCAAATTATATCACAAAAAAAAATTATTAGAAAATGAAAAATCAAATATTCGGTTAGTAACCGATTTTCAATGATTCTATGCTTTGTTAATCCTAGTCAAAACAAAACTGTCATGTAACCAGCAATTTATCTGTAGAATAAAATTGAAACTGACATTACCAAAATTTTCAATTCTCAATATTGATTTATTAGATAAATGAGAACAAATATATATGTATTAACTTCAATAACATGGTTATTGTATTAGAAGATTATGATCATCGTAGTATCCGTAAAGAACAAAGTAGAAAGAAAGGGCCGTTTTGGTGGTTGCACGCGTTCGAGACCGCAAATCGTTTTTTCCTCGGAATTTGCTAGAGAAGCAGCTTGATCATTGTTAAAATTGGATAAGTTTATCAACGATACTACTTATGTAACAGAAGGACAAGTAAGGAAGGTAATTTTGAAATAAACTTTATATTTCGGGATAAAAAGTATCAATTTCGGAATCTTCGAAATAGATCGATTAAACGATCAAAGACGCATATCATAATTTATAGATATAGAAAGATTATTAATTTACAGATTTTGTTCTGTCTGGATTTAGTTTAAATTTATAAAATTCGTATTCGAATATTCTGTAGACACACATTTTCGTTTTATTTATGAAATAAACGCGATGAAACAAATTGCGACGAAAAATGTATATTTTACTAAAAATTATACATGCTAGAATCACTAACTGAAATTTTTATTTCTTAAAAAAAAGAAGGAAAGAGAAAACGTGGGATTAACCATAAATTTTGTATCTATTAGGAAAATTCATTCGGAACATTTGATATTACCAATAAGTATTAAGAAGAAATTTTACATAGCAAATTTCGTAATCAATATAAAATATCGAGGTAAGAAGACATCGTAAGGTAAGACATTTTGTTTCCATTTTTTTCGTCTTTTTTTCTATATGTTTTATATGTTTATATGATTGATATTTTGTATAAAATGAAATTAATATGTCATATATATTCATAACAAGTTGCTATTTATTTTTTCTTATCGTTATTACTTGTTTAAAGTTCACATAATTGTTTTTTTTTTTTTTTCTTCTGATTAAAACATTTATCGCGGTACCTTTGTTGAGTATGATCTTTGTTTTATTGCCATGATACGATGCACGACGTTCGAAACTGTGATAATATGCAATGATCATATTTGTCGGTTCGCATTTTTTGTTGAAACATGTTTATTCACACGTGTCATAATAAATGTGTGTATTAGAATTATAGCTTTTAAGCACGTGTTTGTCATATGTGATGATATGTCTCAGCTTATCAAATTACGTAATATAAGATCCATAAATCGAACATAGAAAGCATTAACCTCCCAAACAGAGGTAGCTGTTGCTTCGACTGAGCAACGTTGTTGAAGTTGCTCATCTGTGTATAGTTCCGTTCAAAAATGATGTATTCTGTATTTAAACTTGAACATTTTTCATTTTGAACATATTATTAATTAATATACAGGGTATCTCAACGATAGTTCAACCGAAAAGGGGGTGATTTTACATGCAGAAACGAATAAAAAAAAAAAAAAATTTTTATTCGAAGTTTCATTTTCGAAAAAATGTACTTTGAGTATTCACCGAATGCGCATACACTTTACTATGGCATATATAAATACACCATCAATGCATGAGTACACATGTACTCGGTGAATATTCAAAATCAATTTGCTCGAAAACGAAGATTCAAATAAAAAAATTTCTTTTTTTCAATTTATTTTTACATATAGAATAACACCCTTCCCGGTTGTACTACTGTTACTGAGACACCCTGTATAATACTTGAAGCATACCAAATGTTTTGACATAAATGATTTTTTATAATCATTTATTTCAATCCATAGTTTTACATAATTCATATATATGTGAAATGTACTATAAAATTAATGGATAAATGAAATACCAAATATAAAAATTTTATAATTTCTAGGTATGATATGTATTATATGAGCCATTTATGTTTACCATTTATTATTTTGATCTTATTTTTCCTTTTCAGTAACAAAAAGATTATTTGTATTTTCTATTTGAAAATTTAACAGTGAATATGAATTTATATTATAAAATTCATATATCACATTTGAACTTCTACTTATATGGTACTGCGGTGTTATAAATGTTTGCTTTCTTTAAACAAGCACAATATATGACTTGTTTAATTCAAGATGACCATTATGATTCAAAATTTTTTTAAATATTTATTTGTAATTAATAGACTTTTCGTATTAAAGTCCAATCATTAATTAAATGAGTGTATATCTTTGTTGTGTGACATGTGAAATTATATGAAATATTTGTGACGTGGTGACAAATCACACACATGAAGGTAAGATTATTTTATCTTTCTTTTTTTTCTAAGTATTTCATTACTAATTAGCATTCTCCTGATGTAGTAATTATCTTCTGTGTTGCTTACTAACATATATAATTGATGTATATATTGGATTCTTATATATGATTGTTATTTCAATTATTTGTCATTCTTAATGATTAAAATCTGTACTTGATTCTTTAATCATTTTTTTATAGGACTAATTTATTTTGTTTGTTCTTTTTAAACATAATTGTATTATATGTTAATTATTTACATTCTCCTATATATTTTTATATTTACAGCATAACTGATACTTTTTATTGTTATTTCTTCTATAATTTATGTTTTTAGGTAATAATTATTTAGGTATTCGTTGTTTCATCATGACAAATGAAGAAATAAATCTGTATATGATTCTTTCATAAGTTTTTCATATAGCTAATTTATGTTGTTTGTTGTTCTATTTAAACATGATTGTATTGTTCGCTAGTTATTTACATTCTTTTATATATTTTTACATTTACAGCATAACTAATTCATTACAATTGTTATTTCATTTATAATAGATATTTTTAGAATGATTATTTTCATTCTTTTATATATTTTTACATTTACAGCATAACTAATTCCTTTTATTGTTATTTCTTTTATAATTGATGTTTTTAGGTAATAATTATTTAGGTATTTGGTTTTTTATGGCGCATGAAGATGTTATAAAAATAAATCCATTTCTTGTTTATTATTTCATTACTATATTATATTTTATTATGCTTAATGATATGTAAGAGTGATCTGTATGTTTTTTATATGTTGTGTTCTTTGACATACCTATTGTGTTAGGAATTTATGATTATTAACAATTTAAATCTGTATATGATTCTTTCATAACTTTTATATACAATTAATTTATGTTGTTTGTTGTCCTTTTTGAACATGATTATATTGTATGTTGATTATTTACATTCTTTTATATATTTTTATATTTACAGCATAACTAGTTCATTTTGTTGTTACTTCATTTATAATTGGTTTCCAGGATGATTATTTTCATTCTTTTATACATTTTTATATCTACAGCAAAACTAATTCATTTTATTGTTATTTCTTTTATAATTGATGTTTTTAGGTAATAATTATTTAGGTATTTGGTTTTTGTCATGCATGAAGATATTATAACTAAATTCATTTCTTGTTTATTATTTCATTAGTACATGATATTATGTGTTGATTATTTACATTCTTTTATGTATTTTTTTAGTGACAGTGTAATTAGTATCTTTTATTTTCATATTTCATTTGTATTTTATATTTTTAGGTAATAGTACTTTTCTGTGCTCGTCACTACACAAAATTGATCTTTATGTATTCCATGTGTTAAATTTCATGTGAAAACTGTACAAACTTTGTCTATAATTTTTTACAGAAATAATTTCTTGTTTTATATATTTATTATTTTAATTGCATTAATTTTTTGTTTTTGAGAATTATAGCCATTTTACTTACATATTTATTTTAGGACATATACCTATATTCTATGTATTACTTTTGTTGCATTATTTTTTAGTTATATATTTAATGTTTATTATTTATCATATATGTGACTTAAAGTTTACTGTTTTTTATTACACTGATTATTTAGGTAGTTTCACCTTCTTGACCTTTTACACCTATCTTTTCACAAGTCCAAATGGTTATGTTGCCATTCCACACGACTCTCAGTATCTTGTAAATATAGTGGGACCTCATTTGTGGACCGCAGTATAAGATTCGCTTTCGCTGGACGTTCCTGCACGTGCAATACACACACATTTAAAATGACGTACTGACACGTAGATCACCTGAGTTACGCACTGCTACTCTTTCATCTAGTCAGTCGGCGTTTCTGCTTCTTTGGGAGCAGTTCGAATTGGACGTCTTTTCTCATGGTGCAATTGATTATTTAAATAATCGATTCTTTAAATTACATATTTTATCGATAGTGTTGGTTCTAAATTAAGGTGATCATGCAGTTGCACGTATCTCAAGGAGGAATTATGATGGCAATCATCGTCCTTCAAATTGTTTCCTCTCAACCAGATCAAGTTCCTACAATTTTGAGTGGAATTGAAAATGTTGCCAACACCGCTACTAATTTCCGTACGTAATCTTTGTCATGTTATTTTTACTTTTTTTTTATATTACTTTACTTTCTTTAAATATATTCTTGCTACTTCCAATATTTGATAACTATTTGCAATCATAAATTGTGAATAATTCAGTGTAATTTGGAGAATGATGGAAGACGATAGAGTTTATTTACATGCGAGTTGTTACATCCTATTTCACAAAATTATATTTTTAATTTCTAAATGAATCATTTTTATGAAAGGAAAATATTAATATTATGAATTTAAACTTCGATTAAATTAAGGAAATTAATCTACTTTAATTGTCTTTAAGTCATCTACAGAAGGAAGACTTTCACCTAAACGGATACTAATTTAAAATTCTGTACACTGTTCAATTAGGATAATTTATGGTAGTTTAGATAACTCTTATGCACGTTTCATTAATAGAGATCGTCACGTTCTTAATGAAACGATATTTTTCACTTCAAGTCTGAGCGAATCTTTCGTTCTTTTTGTTCGCAATTCGTTATCTTATATTTGTAATTAATAATTTTCCACAAGACGGTTTAAACGTAATAGTTTCTGCTATATTACTAATATTTTTCTAGAAAGATGCTATTTTTTAAGGAAGATAAATCCTTAAATTTTTCCTGAAAAACCTAGTGAAATCATTGATACTGTTTCACTAATGTTTTAAAGTGTAATAAATGGAAGAAAAATGATCGGAAGTGGACTTTATTCAAACAATACGAATACGCACATCTTTTTCAAGGATATTTTTTGCAACAGCTTGTCATCGATGTTTCCTAAAAATTCCTCCAAAACTGGATGTAAAAGAACATATCATCAGTAGTAAATTTTTGCGACCAAATGATTGAAATTAGTGATACACCAAAAGATACACTGAATTACAAGTTGGTGGTCATTCCGGTCACCCATGCGAACTTCACATCCTTTTTGTTGTAGCACAACAGGAATTGCCTTGTTATGCTGGCATTGTTACACTGTGCAAACTTAATTATGTGAATTTGAAAGATCACGTGTATACACCAACGTTCTTGATTGTATCATTTCTATTATTTCCCTTTTTTTTTTTTTTATTTTTTACCTCGTTCTATTACGCTTTTTCTTCGTCATTCACATGATTACTATCTCTGTTCCTTTATTAATAATTATTATTATTAGTTTGTCTATTAATTTAAAATAATTAATTTCCTTATTTATCGTATTTTTCAATATTAGAAATATTTTTTGGTAAATAATTTCTTTTAAAACAGCAGATTATTGTTCGAATTCATTGTCAATTGTAGTAATAATATGAATCATTTTGTTATTACTGCTTTATTTTGTTACTTTCTATCTCTATTTTTCTATGCTATTGTAGAATAATAGAATATCTTTTACATTAATATCCTTTAAGATGTTGTAAATTGTATTTCAATCATATTATTTTACTCCAGGTCATTAAATTGTTTGTCACTGTATGCTTTGATTTTAAGGATTATTGTTTTATTATTGCTGATACTAGATCTAACTTGTCATTAGAAGTTTAGAACACAGAGAATGGAAGCTAAGAGCACCTAAGATAGATTTCGCATATTTTTCTGCTGGTAACCTTTTGAGGAAAAGAACTGTTCCAGAGGAAATTGTACGTTTACTCGTTTGTTCCAGTGACGGGAATCATGCAACGACAGAAAGAACTGATACATCGCGTAACGGACTCAGCCTCCGATTTCAGTATGTGATACTTCCGTCCAAACCTCCTCTTGATTTACAATTTTCAAACTGCTCCATCAGATGCATATAAAAATTTTGTATTCGTGTGAAATTAAAATTGAAGTTCAACATTAATCGAGCTAAGGAAAAGTTGAAAATGAAATCAGTGATACTAGATGAAATGATGTTTGAAAACTTACTTCAGGAGGAGAACTGGAGTTGCTTCACATTCGCAACAGTATTTTTAATAAAGGCCTTAATACAAATTTCAGCGATTAACAGCATTGTTAAATAAAATAGTCATGACTGCAGATAATTCTAAAATTCCTAAGATGCTTTTTTGAAATACCCTTTGGTTTGGTCATCAATTTTTGATAGTTTTATCATAACACTGCTTGGGTAATATTTTATAAGAATTAAAATATAAACGTTCAACCACAATTCCAATTTCAAAGCATGTGGATATCCTTTAGGTCCATTTAGATTTATCCAAACTTTCTACAAAATTACTTTTTTTCATAGAATTTGATATTGGCATTAATAGTTGGATTTAATTAATTTTATGTACAACTCAAATACCTTCTGCATCAACATCATTCTCCATTTATTACTCCATTTAATACGCTTTTTTATAACTTGCAGTATCATAATAAGTATAATTTAAAAAAAAAAAAAAAAAAAAAAAAAAAAAATAGTGGAAGTGAATGACCACTTTTTTCTTTTTATGTTATCTTTTTAGTCACCAGTGCAGTGGAGAAGCCGAAGAATCTACTCATTAACGCGACCAGAGCTACTACTGGTATAAGTAAGTATGGAAAATTATTGATTCACTTTAATCGACACTAATCGGCTAAAGTTGATAGCGCTGCCTCGAAGGGCTTGGAATTCAAAATAAGAAGAATACTGGAGAAATTTCGTGCTAGAATGCCTTATGGAATACCAGAACTAGGAATTCCACCATTAGAACCACTTCATCTTGACGAGGTCGACATCAAAATAGATAATCCAGATATAGGAAAGTAAGTTCGAAGATTGGTTAAATAAAATCGGTTACGCTGAAGATTCTCAAGAATTCAATTAGTGATAAACGAATTCGCATCCTCTAAGACTGCCATAAAAGTCTGTGAGAACTGGAGATTTAGGAATTCTTTGAGTGAAGAAAGTCAAGAGAACAGACTAGGAGATCATGTTTTCTGTTCTGAACATATTTCATGTAAATCTGTTGAAAATTATCTGATCTTTAACATATTTTATTTAATTTTTTAGTATATCCATCACTGTAGAGGATTTGACACTACACAACTTGTCGACTTTCTTTATCAACAAGGCAAAACTATCACTGATCGGACCAACAATTACGGCAAATATTTCTGTTCCACGAATTTATGCTGAAGCTTTTTATAATATATCTGGTCTTCTCGGTTCTACGCTTCTGCTGGATGGTGCTGGTCCCTTGAAGGCGAATATATATGATTTTCAACTATATGTGAACACTATATTAGGATACTCTAGAGGAGTGTACTTGAGGACCTTCGATTTGGACTTTTCATTGAAGTCTATAGATATTAAATTAGATAATTTCATGGATGATGATGAATTAAACGACGTTATGAACAAGGTAGGCCCATTTTTTTAAATTCCTTGTTGTTAGGGGTTTAATAGTTTGTAAATTAATAGGTATAAATTTTTAGTATTCGCTTATATTTAGAAAACAAAATAACGGTGCATAGAATTTCTGATAATTCTGTTGCTCATTAGTACAATAGTTATTGTTTTATGAAAAACATTGGTTACACAGGAAACAAGTGTTGAAAGTTACACTGCTCTTCAATTAACATACAATGTTCGATGTTACAAATTACTAGGGCAGAGAGGCCATCCAATTCAATTTTGATGCGTTTATCCACAGGTCTTTCAGGAGTTGACACCGAAGGTGTTAGACATTATCAAGCCGGACGTACTTCCGGGTATCCAGAGTTACATAGGTGGCAGAATTAACGAGACTATTCATCACCTCACCATGAGGGATGTAATTAGTGTGTTGGTGGGAAACGAAATTCGAGAATTTACGTATCTTCCAGTGCCTTAAAGTTATATCTAATCAAGCCTACTTTTTGTATAAAAAATTTGAAAGACAACACCGTCAATACTTAACTATAGATTTAAATATTTGATGCAAAAAAAAAAAATGATTTAAAACTCATATTTTATGTCGGAAGTTGGGATTTCGTATATTGCTGTTTTAAATCCGAAGAAGAAAGTTTATTATTTGTCCCATTTTCTTGCCTTAACGAAATGTAGGATTTTTAAACTTTTCTGAAGATTTGATACATATGTGGAAAACTTACCATTGCTTATGTTGATATTACCTTACTAGTGTCCATAGTAATGTTATTATTGGCAGTAAGCTGTAGTATACACAAGAGGATGTAAAATAATTTTTTTTGTTTGATATTGAGAAAATTTCTAGTTTTAGCTGGGAGAGTCATTTTTAGATTATTGTAGTATAGTAACAACGTTGCTTGTATTTAAATATATATTGCAGGTTTCATAATATTTTCTTAACATAAGGTTTTAGTTAGAAAAAGATCTTTCAAGTATAATAGAATTTTTTGTAAATCTGGAATCTCTGAAGACAACACCAAGATTGGTGGTGTATTGTATTGATATTGTATTGGTATTACTATTTACTATTTTTTAAAATAAAACTTTTTACGATTATTCTTACTGTTTATAACTTTAGCGGCATTTATAAAGGTAAGTAGAGTAGTTTTTTAATTCTGTGGATTGTTGTAGAAATTTATAATTTTTCAAATAACTTGAATTTTGATTAATTGTGGTCTTTTTAACCATGCACTTAAAACTGTATTTTAATATGTGGGAAATATACAAATTATTATTATATACATAGTAACTAGTTTTTCACCTATTGTATTCCATCTATTGTCATCGATCCTTTCAGTACTCCATATATCTTTTAAATATTACAATAAATTCCACCAAAAAATTTCTGTAGTTTACAAATTAGAAAAATAAAAGAGGTATTCCTAAAATATGGTGTGTGGCATAGAAAAATGATATTTTGAAGACATGCAAAGCTGAAAAAGGATTTTGAGTCGCTGATAATGATACAGGTATAATGTAAAACGGATCCTTCACTCAGATCCCATGATCTCTCGTTTAGGGATAAGAAATCGATCATGCTTTATGTTCAATTCATTAATTCACATGTCACTCATCGAAAATGGTATTTCTAAATCATTCTTATGCACAGAGATTGTAAATGCTTGGCCCTTGAGTTAAATTTCATTTCAAGATTACCACCACCATTTATTAACTCTTCCAATCACTAATCTCATCGATTTTAAGCTTTCATGAATGTAGACGCTTTTAGTTTTTTAGTATTTTCCATTATTTTTGTAGTATTTTAGTAGTAGCGTATATTATTGTAAATAGCATAAGTTGACGCAGATTATTGCAGCTTCGGTGGTATTAATAATATAATTTATATAAATAAGTTAAAATAACGTAAGTAACTGTAAGTAACGTAAGTAACTCTATTAACTTAATAGAGATAATGTAAATTGTTATGAGAACTGTATCGTAATATGTGTTGCTCTGAATAATAAATCATGAACAACACAAATGATTACAGTTAGCATTAGCTTATGTTAATGTAATTATATTATTATTTGTTCTATATTAATTTTAGTCAAGTTAACGTAATATTTCAAGTTACTACTTACTGTATATTAATTTTATAATTGTCATTAACAATAAGAAAATTGTTTTGGCAGGAAATATGGCCAAATATCTGCATCTAGAGTCAAGATTGGAGTTGAGACAACTGCGCAGTTTCAGACAACTCGATGATTATCGAATGAACGAGTTGTCGTTGCTAATTGATGCTGATGATAACTAGTCCAGTTAAGATTAACGATAAGACAATAAGTAACGTAACCAGATTATGCGAAAAGATACCGTCTCGTTGAAATAATTCAATTGCCAGATTAATCAAGGAAGTGACTCCTTAACGAAAGAAGAAAGAAGAAAAAGTTAGCGGTACTTTAAACAGACAAACATTTATTATTATTATTTTTCCTCCTTATTTTACCAAATATCATTCTGTGCGATAACTGATGTGTCGTGATAATTGTTAATTGCATTTTGATGTGTAACGATAACAGCGTATGTTTCTGTATAATTCCGTGTATAATAATTCGTGGACAGTAGATTGATCAATGAAATATGATGGTTCAAAATTTGAAGTGTTAATTTCTTTGTGGAATAGATAATAGAGGTTGAAATGCCACGATTGATTTTGTCACCTTCATAGATATTTCTACCTTTGTCTACGATGAATAAAAATCCATCGTATTGAGTGTGCAAGTCGAACTTTGATATTTAATTTGGCCTACTTCATTCTTTAACGAGGTTCCACTAAATACCGAATAAGTAGACAGACATATTCATGGAAAAATTGGAAATTTATTATAAAAAAAAGAAATTAAAAAAATTTTATAACTTGAATTTTTCAAAAATATTATCATGCCCGAAAACATTTCAATATGCTCTAAAGAAGAAACAATTCCATTGTTTCATCGCGTTTCATTCATAAAAGCTGTAGGTGCGGTTAACGGTAGTTGTCAATTACCTTCCCTGCGTTTTATAACATAAGTATATATATATATATAAAAATATATATTCAGTGGTTCCACAACATCCTCAATCGTGGAAGTACCGAAAGCTTTAGCTGACAACAAATTGCGATCGAAACTCGAGGGTTCATTTCCATCGTTATCGCCGGTATTCTGTCGTTATCGTCGATCACCAAATAGTTGCACGTGCTATACACCTCTCTCATACTTGGAGTGGTTCGTTGGAAGGTTTCAAAGATAATTCCTTCAACAATCTCAATATACCATTCTTTCCAACTGGATAATCAATAGCGATTAGTTACAAATTCTTCGATTATTTATACGTTTATGTCATTTTCATAAGTTACATCTTCTAATTGGAAATTAATGATTACAATTTGCAGTTGCAAGTAGGAATCTCCTTTTTCGGAAGAAAGGTACAAATTGCAGATTGCAAACTACCTCATAGATTGTATTTTTATCATGAATGGCTCCAGGAAGGTAATCTATCCTCCCACTGTAAACATCGGTCTCTTAATCAAGTCAAATGTTTCACACGTGTTTGCAGTTGAAGCGTACAGAATTTTATTTGATTGCTAATGTTTCAGCCAAGTATATCATTTGCGAAAATTTATCATAAATATAGAATCGGTTGATCAATTTGTCTGTAAAAAATATGTAACAAATTATTTATCAATTGAGTAATATTGGGATGGATAATCAACTAAACCTGGTGAAGCTTGATGGGGGTGTAGAACAGTTGTCCAGTAAATGTAAGTGACGTAAACCAAAACTGAAACATCAGAAACCTCTTTCAGTATCAAACCATGTCACTCTAGAATTCACGATGACAGTTATCTATTTCCTAAAATTCAAAGTTTACCTTTTCCCTATAATTCGTTTTATCATATCAAATATAACAAAATAATAAAATTACTTTCTTTTTAAATTAAAAAATTAAAACACAGAATGACAAATTTTGGGGGATTTCATTAAAATTTTAATTGCAATAAATATGAAAATTTATTCTTCCTATATTGCTTATATATGTATATTACCTTTCTAGCAATTTAGTCTCATAGTATCATTTTAGCACAGCTAGTAAAGCAATATTATTATTTTTAAGTTTAAGTTTTATTATGTTATAAACTTGCTTTACTTTCTTTTCTAGGTGCTGAATTCTTGTACAACCATTTCAATCAACCATCTCGTCGAAAGAAGAATTTAATTTGGAAAAAAAAGTATTCTTCAGTCAAATCAGCATGGTTTTGTATATACCCTGTGACTAGAGTCAATCGAAAGCAACAGTTGGTGGAGCTCCTGAGCTACAAACGAGTCGCTGTATTCAAGTACTTACGCGAGAAAGACAGACAGCTCGTGTGGTAAAAGAGAGAGTGACTCGAAAATCGCACATGCGTAAGATCTGGCGATATATAGAGCACTGGTGGAAGGCAGTCGCGTTTAAACGGTGCCCGGCGTCGGACGTGTTAACCGGCCGCGAGATACTGTCGATTGCCCGATCTATCAAAGAACACTCTTGATCATAAGTATATAGATTTTAAAAGGAAGATAATAAGCTCTGTCTGGTGAATAAATAAAATCTTATCCTTCATGTGGCAATGAAGCTTGTTTATTAGTTACTGACAATGGAAAAGTATTGTGTTTTGTATTCACTTCAAGAAGATATTTCTCGTTTTTACGTTTCGTGACATGAGAGAAGATTTTTGAGGAAAATCGAAGGATTTCTTCAGTATAACATCGTGGAATGGAAAAATAGTTCTAACTACTATTGTGGCTATCGAAGACTCATTTTTGCCAGCTCCTGTGGTGTTTTACTTCTGAGCAATTTCTGGTGAGTGGCCATTTTTCTATGATTTCATAACACTTTTTATAAAAAGTTCAGCGAATTCCTAAAATACGAATTTTTAATATCAAAAATCTGGGAAATTTATTTTGACTAAATCATTACTTGACAATTATTCTTTGCTGCATGCGTTCTGGTGTTTAATGATACCTTATATAGAATATCCAATAATTTCGTAAAACCATTAGGAAATCGCAGTAGTTGTTCGATGCTGTCAATACGGTACGGTGCAATGTTTATTTAAAGTTAGTTTTCAGAAACGAAATGCAGAACTGAAGAAGTTGAAAGCAGGAAAAACAAAAAAATTCCTGATAATTTTTTCTTAAACATTCTTCGAATTCTTTTATTACTTTTTTAAAGTATCCAATAATTTTATGGAAATACATGGGCATTGCTGTATTTTATTCAGGTTGCAGAAGCAAGATAAGTTTGAAATAAGAATTGAAATAAATTCGGAGGAAGTCAATTTGATCAAAATAGGTGTTAAAAAGAAAAGTTTGTGGTAATTATATTTCCTCGGAACTCTGATTTTCTAAATATTCCAAATTCTAAAAACAGAAAAAATTCAGAATCTGGTAAGTCAACGCATAGGAGGCATTTATTAAGGTCGTTGGTAAAAATTCGTGGAGTTCGGTGCGAGTTTAATGTTCCTCTTGAATTGACGTTACTAGATAAATACAGTCATAAACGACGTTTCTTTGGATCGCCTGCTGGGTAGTTTATGTTTTTATAAATAAACTCAGACTCTGCTTTTGGTGCCTCTAATCGGTGCAGAAAAACATAAGCAGTTGAGTTTTAATTAGCTATAGATATCAACTGTTAATACTCGTTAATTACTCGATTTAAGTTGCTTGATCCAATAGCAATCTTTATATTAGCCTCAGATTTTTGATTCAGGGAAAAATGTTACTGACAAATGTTCGTGCGATTTTTCTTAATGTTATTTTTTTCCTCAATTGAAAAATGGAAAATTTATCTAGACTTCTAAAATTACTTACAAATTCCTGGTTTTATATTTATAATTTTTGTTCATTAACGACCAGCATTATTGATGACTAATAAGAGAAAAATTTTTACTTAATATATCAATTCCTTATGTTTAGAAGTATGAAAAGAAAAAGGAAACATATCTTCTGGCAATATTTTTCATCCACTTTCCTTTTGATTATGTTTCTGACTTTCATGTCCTCCTTGATAATCCAACGATACTTCTGATTAAAAATATTCGCGACATCGTGTTTGAAGGTGTTTTTGAATTTTATAAATTTCAATATGCAAGCTTTTCGAGTGACCTTTGATGTTTAATAAAAGAAATTTAATTGCATTAACAGCAGATAACATTTCCATAGTGACACTAAAATACTGTGAGTACAGTCGTCTACGGTTGATGTTATAATGAAGTAATTAATTAGCAGAGTATTCCATGTCTCCAAGCATAAATACTTCATATCTTTCGAATGCCTTTACAATAAATCTTGTATTACTTAGTAAAATATTACTCTCGTGGGAGACTTAATTAAAGTTTATTTCCAAACAAAGAGTTAGTAGTTGCGAGGAAGTTTCTAAAAATAGTTAATTCATCACAAGTACTAAATTCATCGGTAAAAAGAGAAAGAGGAGTTTCATAAAAACTTTTGGAATTTTTAGGGTTCTTTTTCTTGCTATTTTAACGATCAGTATTAAAATCATAGGCTGTTTCAGAATTCCAAAATTTATGTCTTTGATAATAGTTCAAAATAGTTCAAAATTTACAGATTATAGGAATTCATAGGGATATCTGTATTTATAGATTTCTTTCCTTGGATTGTTTTTTTTTTTTTTTTTTTTTTTTTTTTTTTTTTTTTTTTTTTTTTTTTTTTTTTTAAAATATTTAAAA